TATACTGAAACTAATTTTGCCATAGGCTAATTGATAAAAACTATAATTAAGTGCTTAGGGCATCTCATCATTGTTATAATGTTGAACAAAATTATGTTATTCTAGGACCTGTTGTAATTACCCAAGAGAAATAATACATGCTAACACACAACTCCTATTCAGAGTGAATATTTAGAGTAGCTTTATTCATAATAGTCCCAAACTAGAAACAACCCAAAAATGTCCATCAGTAAAGTGAATGGATACACAAATTCATACCAAAGAATACTCTGCAGCAATAAAAAGGAACAAATATTGTGATAATTGAAAGAAGCCAGATGTAGGATATTACATGCTATATGATTCCATTTATATGAAACTATAGGACAGACAAACAGTGGTTGCCTGGGGACAGGGGTACTGAACTGTGATGGGAAAGAGTATGAGGAATATTGGAGAGTAATGGAAATATTCTGTGTCTTGATTGTAGAGGTAGTTACACAGATAGATTTTCCTACCTGCATTGAATGGTATACTTAAAATAGATACAGTTTATTTCATGTAAATTATACATCAAAATAATAGATTTAAAAAGTAAACAAAAATAACAAAATTAGAATTGGAAAAATGTAAAAGTAATCTGGGCTATTTAATTATTCTTAAGAAGAGATCAGTTAAGTAAGTATAAAATATCCAAGAAGTGTGTATTAATAGATTATCTAGGAAATATCCTCTAGTTACCTACTTCTCATTGACATTTTAATAATAAAATGCCAGAACACCTACATTTCAAATTCACAAGAAATAATTGCTTTTACAAATCATAGTCAGGTTCATTACTAGTAAGAGCAAGTAACTAGATTTGGTGTACATTCTATCTTCTAGTTTTGTGAGATTAAGATAAATAACAGGCCAGTAAATATATCTCCAGGATTTATCCAGAAAAGTACCTTTAAGCTACTTAATAAGGTAAATATAAATTCAGCCCAATCTCCTGGCATTTTCAGGTTAAAATGACGATCATATTTTCTATTGTTAGTCATTTTAAAATGTTAGTCTTAGCAGAAAGTTATGCCAAGTACATTTTATTACATTCTAATTCTTTGAAAATTCATAATGTATTTGACAGTCTTTGTTAGCAAAAAAAAAATTGTAAAAACAGATTTCCTTTCTCAAAATATAGATGATAAATTATAGTGAGCTTTTACTGGAGAACTTTAATTAATTACCAATGGTGAAATATTTTTAGTAATCCAATGAGTTAATTTCATAATTATCTATTCACTTTCAGTTTTCAGCTTGCTAAAGTTCTAAAATTCTTCTGTAGGTTCCTAATTCAATGGTTTGCTTCTTGGGTTTATATAGTGAATACTGTTATATTTTCTGTACATTAAGTTGAATGTACAAAGCTGAAGCCTTGTAGGACAGGTTAGAGATTTTTGCTTCACTGCTCCTCTCTGCCTCCCCCCAACTCCCCTCTCCTCCACCAAAGAACAGTGAGAAATGTGTTTTTAGTTAGGAATGGAGGGAGAGGATAACTCCCAGAACTATAATCAAATAGATTAAACTAAAGGGAGTTTGTGGAAAATCTCTTCCCAGGGGCTTGTCAAGAAGAGCCTGGTTTCACAGCATGATGATTTTAACTTTCAGTATCTGCAGGCCTCTCTACAACGTAGACTGTAAGAAATTAACAGAATGTGAATTTGTAAAAGTAATATTTTAACAAGTTTAACAGTTACAGATTAGTGGAAATGCTATTTTATTTTTTAGTATATTTTTATTGATTTCAGAGAGGAAGGGAGAGGGAGAGATAAAAACATCAATGGTGAGAGAGAATCATTGTTCAGCTGCCTTGTGCATGCCCCCAGGGATGGAGCCCGTAACCCAGGCATATACCCTTGACAAGAATCACACCTGCGACCCTTCAGTTCACAGGTCGAGGCTCTATCCACTGAGCCAAGCCGGCAAAGGCTGGAAATGCTATTTTAATTAATCTTAATATTACAGCAAGATGGCATTATTAACTCTTTTTCAATTGTTAAATATAAGAACAATCTTGCAAGTAGAGGTTTCATTCCAGGGTGTTTGACAGGAATTTATATTGATATTAATTCATACCACTAATAATTTACTGTACGAAAATGACTATTGAAGTTTGACATTGTTTAAATGCTGCAAGGATCTTACGTTCTGAAAGTTGGAGAGAATGACCTGGTGGCTTTTGCATTATTAATTTCTACTATCTGATTTCTAATGCCAATTTTCAAACTCATGTAACTCTTAAAACTTGGCTTGCACAAATATTTTTTAAAAAAATATATTTTATTGAATTTTTACAGAGAGGAAGGGAGAGGGATAGAGAGGTAGAAACATCAGACAGCTGCCTCCTGCACACCCCTATTGGGGATGTGCCCGCAACCAAGGTACATGCCCTTGACTGGAATTGAACCCGGGACCCCTTAGTCCGCAGGCCAACACTCTATCCACTGACCCCTCAGTCCACAGGCCAACACTCTATCCACTGACCCCTCAGTCCGCAGGCCAACACTCTATCCACTGAGGGCTTGCACAAACATTTTTACTGGCATTTTTAAGCACAGTGAAAAGAGGAGTCTTTGGATTAGAAAGCCATGTGATTTTACTTACTAATTTTTAAAAATAATTTTTAAATCATTGAGATTTTAAATCAAGCAAATTGGACAATCTTTAAGTAGCTCATATTTTACTTAGTTTAACTGGTAAATGATAACTTTGGAGAATATTTAGATATCTGAACCTTCACTAGTAACAAGGGAATGCGATTTGTACAAAAGGGTTTTGTTGCACCTTTAAATAATAGATTTGTAAAATTAAGAGATTGCGAACTAAACACAAATATTGGAAAGGTCAGGAATGTGGGGAACCTAAAGAAGAGGCTGCATCTGTTTGGGGCCTATGGGACTAATTGTAGATCCAGGTGGAGCATTGATTTGTGAATATTTCCTTCGTAAATTAAAGGGTGCAAGATAATTCCTGTAAATTTGAAAAAAACAAACAAACAGCAGCAATACATAGTTTCTGAAGAATTGCCCCAAACTCTGGATTGCAGATATTGTGCAAGAAACACACAATCTGTTGAATGCCCATGGGGGTATGTGGCATGTGGGAACACTATTGGTCACGTGCAGGGTTAGAGAACATCTGATATAATTCAGTAAAGGCCAATTTGTCAAATTAAATTTGTCAGTTAAATATTTGCCACTTGAATGCAACACAGCACTTGAGTCAGCCACTGGATAAACCAGATCAGTCACAATCTTCGAAAGTTGTTCCCCAAACTGAAAAGAAAGTACAAATTTGCCTCAATATACACATTCGACTGTTTAAATATGCCCATTGTCACAAGGAAAATGAGTTTGTTTGGCTAGGACTAGGATTATGGGCTTCAATTTTAAAGTAGCAATTAAAGTGGGCAGAAATCGAGGGGAGTGGTATCAGCAATGGGAAGATGTTCTTTTTGCCATGCAACCATACAATGAACATTGTCCTTCAGTAGTTCTTGGTTATGCAAAGCCAATAGATAATATAGGAATAAGCATGTCAAACTCGCAGCCTGCAGGCTGCATGTGGCCCACAACGAATATTTTTGTGGCCCAGCCAATATAACGGTATGTAAGAAACGTTTTAATAAAAATTTCGTAACTTAATTTTTACAATATCCTGTTATGCGTAATTATCAATAACAAACTACAACTTCCGCTAATGACTGATTACTATCATCGTGTTGCATTCATTTCCCTTATGCGCCTTACGCGCAGGCGCACCATTTCTCTCCACTAATACTAGCAGCGAATATTTTAGCAGCCGATTGCCACGTCATCAGTCTTGGACTGACTTGGTTGGTGTGCGCAACAGGAAATATTTCGCTTTC